ACACTAGCTCAGCAATGCTACCATTTCTGGAAAGGCCTAAATATTATTCAGCATCTAGTTAACAAAGTAAAGTTTAGGTTTGATACATAAAATATTTTAATTAAAAAAAAAAAAAAAAATCTAACTCAATTCTTCAGTGGAATGATGCACCACTCCACCCCTGAAACAGCCTGAAGAGAGACAAAGGCAAAAGGTAGCAGGGATGAAGTCAAAAGCTTAATCTTATCCTTTTGGTAACAGTGACAATAAAACTGAAAGATCTGCAAATTAGCTGATCCTGGAGGATGGCTAGGGATGGCACTGCCACCTTCATTGACATTCTTCCCCCATGGCAATATTGGCCTCATCAACCTCTGGCACTGCTCCTTGGCAGCCAGCTCCAGGATCACCATGTTGCTAGGCACACTGCAACTGAGTCTGAGGTCTGTTAAAGGGGTATTTCCACCAAGAGCAGCGGTTTGAATTGAGAGAAACAGACCCTCAGCAGCCAAACACCAACATTTAAATAAAAATATTTTTAAAAAATGATTATATTTGTTTGGCTACAACTGTAATATGGAAAGATAAAATAGTTTCATGTTGAGAACCAACTGTGAGTGTTTAATCTGATGCACTTCCCATCAACTCAATATCCTATTACAGCTATCTTTTGTTTATAAACTTAATTTTTCATATGCAAGATGAAACAGCTAATTAAATAACTAATTACACTGATATACTTTTCTCACTAGTCAATTTCTAATACTGACTGATTGGTTATTTTACCAAAAAAAATTACACCTTGTTAGTTTTGCTGAGTGTGAAAATTTAAGTGTGCTTATGGATATTCAGATGTCAAAATTAAAATAATTGTAAAAAGAACATAAATGCTATTTTTAAATAGGTCTTCATAAACTGTATCTATGAAAGCAAAACACTCCAAACTTTTCAGTAGAGGAAGCACAAAGATTCTGCACAAAAATAAAGCCAACATGGTACCTTCTGCTTTACCAAGTACAATTATAAAATGGATTCTTAAGCAGAAATGACAGGGAGGGGAGAGAGTATCTTACTATAAGACAGTAAGTAAACTTTAAAAAGACAGCATTGTGCTTTTCATTATTACAATTTTATTTCCCTTTAAAGAACAGTATTTTAAGGAGAAATTCAATTAGACATTCCAGAAAATAAGGAAGCACATCGAATCTGGTGAAGATTACTTTTCTGGTAGCATTTTTGCTGCCATAACACCTTTTTTATTTTTTTTCACTTTTCCATAGGCTGAGGACATGAAGTTCCAAAAAGGGTAAGGCAACTGACCTTGACATAGCCTCTGTTCGACTACAAGCAGAAGTATTCAAGAGAAATACTTGAGAAATGTATTCTTGAATGCTGCTACATTCAACAGAAATATAACAGCACAACATAATCTACCTGGCACAAAGGAGCTTTAAACATACATCTGTATCTACAGCTATAGGTAAGTATTTATTTGTTTACCTATTAGGCACCTTTTTATTTAATATTACTAAATTTTAATTAACTTTTTTATTTAGTATTTTACATATGTTTTCTTCTTGTGTCTTTTTTTTTTTTTCTAAATAAAACGAACTTAAGAGTTTTAGCAACTCCCTCAATGTATCCATATATGGAGAGACTTTACTATTACCCATACTATCAACAATGATTTTTTTCATGTCAATTTCTTTAGCTAGTATCTGGTCACCAATTTACTAGGTATTTCACAAATCAAAAAGACCTTTAGGCATATGAAAGTGGGATATGTACTCCAGATGCCAGCTTTAAAATTCTCATTCTTTAATCAGATTTTCATATAAGAACATGAGACTTTATATAATAATGGAATGAAAATCAAAAGTGACAGATTGGGTGACTGGAATTTCTACTGGACTTTTTTCCTCCATTAAAATGTCCAGCCTTATAATTTTGGAAGAGAATTTAGCACCAGCTAGAATCCTTGGATAGCAACAGGAAAACAGTGACAAACCTCCCTCAAATAAAAGTTTAAATCATGAATTTGGAAAATGCTTTCAAAAAATGAAACACAGTAAATTTCAAAATTAATGGGACTGATCACAAGGTCAAATCCTGTCATCTGGTAAACAGCAAGAAGAAATGCAGTATTTAAGTCTGCTGAGGATGCTTGATTTGAGAAATTCCAGGAGACCATGAGACTCAGAACATGTTAGAATGTGACTTTACAGCAACTGAAATTCAGGGTCCAGGTAAGTATACTAGTGTTCTTCCACCATTTACATTAAGCCAATGTTTAACAAACAAATAAAAGGGTGAAGAACCTAGGATCCTATGATTTGTTTGCAGGATATTGGACTCCTACTATATGCTCTCCCTCCTACAGCCTGGGAAATTTTCAGTTCCACCCGATACCTTTACAAGTTTAACACAATGATAGAAAGAAATGTATTGCTAACTCTGCCCTTTAGGGCAAAAAGCTGGTGGGCTGGTGAGTAAACCTTGTGCTACAGCCTCTGAAGTGAAGGTCTCTTTCTAACCTACTGTTTGCAGGCAAGAAAGCTTCAAATTGCTGTACATCAGCTCCATTTGCTGAGGTTATACAAGCAGGGTTCAACTAAGGCACTACTGATACAAATGAGTTAGCTTGTGTATTTCTACATATGTGTAGTTACAGTACCATGCTAACAATGCATCTACTGCCTCCACACTGTGTTTAATAAAAGGTTAGTTCAACTTCAAGCACGTTCTAGAACTTTTCTTGAACTTCAGGAGGTCCCATAATGAATGCCAATAAAAACCAGAAGCAGTAGTGGGTGGACAGCTCTGGAGTACAGTTATAAAATTATTTTATTGGTATGAAACCAGCCCTATGAGTTCTGAAAGACTGTATGTTGCATTGTTCCTTGCTCAAGTCTTGTACTCTGAGGACCTACTAAGCAGGAAACAATGACAAAATAACGACAACACAGGATGATCCCAAGTGGTGTTTGTAAGAAGAGACAAGGTTATACAACCTTATGTAGCAGCAGTCAACCAAAAAAAGCCTACCAAAATAAACAGCAACTTTTCAAGAGGCAGCAGCAGACACATTCCTGTAGACATGGAGCATTACCAGATACGTGCAAAGAATACTCTCATTTTTCCATAATATCTATCAGGGCTAATCGTCAGCAACATCTGAGCTTAGCTAGAACAATGTTGCAAGTCGTATTTAAATCTGCTTTAAAGACTGTGCAATTCTAGAAACTTGTATTATAAGCGTTTAAGACGGCAAGTAAGCAGCTCTGAGGTTTGGGTTTTAAATTGTTCAGTCTTGAGTCCTAACCCGAAAGAATTTTCACAGAGAACAGAGCATAGCATCAGGGAACTAACGCCAAGGCTGGTTTTGATATACATAATACTACTTTATTCCATTGCTTCAACTTTCTTACAGCTTTAAAAAACGTACAGGGGTTCAGAACCACCTCAACAGAGCAAAGAATACATAATTAAGGGAAATCTAGAATCAAACCACAAGTGTGCAAGTGTGGTAAGCTTCGAGTACAAAAAGTAATAGGCACAATTTTTACATACGCATTTTGGTTAAAGAAGGAATAATAGTGCTGTGTTAAAAGGCACCAATAATCAATAACTGGGCCTCTTCTGAAAGCCAATAACCATCTAAGAAAATTACATTTGGTTCAAAATAATGATTTTAATATTTTATTGATTGGCATGCATCTGAACCCCTGACAATTTATTACACAAACCTAATGTGCACCCTTGCAAAATTAAAAAAGATTTCATCAGTGGACCTGAAAATCAGTTCAGTACAAAAGGAAATACTGAAGCTTTTTGCCTGTACTTAATACTACACTGTCTAGTTCACCTCCTCCAAGAACACTTGTCTAACAGCTATTTAACAACTGCATGGAAGTATTTCTCTTAAAGTGTAATTTTTTAATCCTGTAGCATTGACCTATTCCATGTGCTATGAAAACATTAGGCACAGACCACAGTTAATGTTTTCTCTTAAAAAAAGAGTATGTGCAAGCTAGGTTCACACAACAGATTGACAGCTACAACATTAAGCTATTTAAACTTCCCAAAGAAAAGAGTTAGTTTTAATTTTCTAAGCAGTGAAGCACACTGCTGCACGCAATTATCATATCTGCATTAGGATTATCTGTAGCCAATGAAGGAAAAGCTTTAGTACACCCTAAAGGACACTACATCGATACTGTGCACTAATTTAACAGGATCAAGAGAATGAAAGATTGAAGAAGTCATTGTACATGGGCAGCGACAATTACTCAGCCAGCCATGAAGGGCTACTGCTTTCTGCAGGAAGAATGGTTTGAAACTCAGTTTGCCTCAGAGGTGCCCTCAAACTAAACCACTAGGAAGCGATGGAATCTAGGGATGAACAGCATGGAAAAAAAGGGGAAATGAGAGGGAGAGCTTCTGTGAAAGTTGTACCAAAATGTGCCGTTTTATCCAAAAGCATCGTGCCCAGTATAGGTTTTATGCATTGCGGATTGTTTGTACAACTGAAAATTGTACAAGATGTGAGCAGAGATAGAGCTGATTAGTAATCTGCAATATCTACTATAGTCCTCGGGTATATTATTTATGGATAGCCACTTACTGTGTTGTTTGTTTCCTCTTAAATATTTTTAAATTCAGAAGGCTACAGTATATTCTGACACAAAGATAGTAGGACAACTTCTTCTACAAGGGGAAAAATGTAAGGTAGTGCCTAACATATTTTATGAGGAATCTCCTCTGATGTGGTAGTTATTTCATGCCCTTTGGAAGGTTTTTAGTTTTTCTTCATCATCTCTGTCGAATTGCTGTCCTCACAATCTCACAAGAACTATATTCAAGTTCAGTGACCCCTCTTACAGCGGCCTTTTCCACAATCACTTTCAAACTCACTCTAGCATCACAGCAAGATATTCAAGTAACCATTTATCTTCTGGCAAATTTCCAGATACAGCAAATACTATCAAAACTCCGCCTTTGATCACACGCACCAGTTTTTTTTAAATGGAGCAGGAATTAGCCCGTTTTCTTGGTTTAGGGTCCCGTACATCCCTGTCTTTTAAACACATACAAGATGAACATATTGTCTCTGATAGTCTCCGCAGTCCCAGCCTGAAAACGCTGTTGGAGAGGCTATATATCACACAGTTGCAGAAACTATTGCTTATAGCAAGCCATGTTGTTAAGAAGGAAAGTGCTGGGTTTTCCAACACCCTAGAGCTCTCCAGCAGAAAGTATAGGATATAAGGGAGCCACAGTACGTAGAACACACTAGTTATCCGAAACAAAACCATGGCATAGCGGCGATCGGGGCTGTGCCCAGTCTCCCCAGCAGCATCCACTTCATGGCTGGGAAATCGAGCTCTCCGATCATTTATCTCTTTGGTGTGCTGCCGGCAAATTTTAAAGATGTGGAAATATGTGAAACATATGACAAAGGCAGCAGGAGCATATAGTAAGCACACAATAAAGCCAGTAAAATAGGCATTAGTTAGCCAGGAGGTAGCACACCATTCAAAAATATCTCCATGGTAACCAGGTTTTCCCCAACCAAAAAAGGAAGGCAAGAAGATCAGACAAGAGTATATCCAGATCAAAACGATGCAGATTCTCAAGCGACAAGGTGTGACCAGTTGATTATAGGAGAGAGGCTTTGTTATAGCAAGATAGCGATCCACACTGATGCAAGCAAGACATGCCATAGATACGCTTTTTAGCACAGAGATGATATATCCAAAAACTTGACAAGTCAAGGACTCTTGGACACCTGTTGAGTAGTGGAGCAGTGACAAAGTAGGAACCAAGCAGCTAACTCCAACAAAGAGATCAGCATAGGCCATGGTCTGAATAAAATAGCTGGTGGTATAATGATGCAAAAGTGGAGCACAGTGAAAAACAAATATCACAGTTAAGTTACCCGCAATAATTAAAAATGTTAGCAAGACAATAACAACTGTCTCAAGGATACAGATGTCAACTGCATTGTAGTGACCAAATCCAAGAGGGCAGGAGAGATGCTCAGACATGTTCATAACACTACTGCTCATATTCAGAGTCCTCCATTCAATCCATCGGGACTGGTTCATGTTTTGTGACTGGGGAACACTGCAATCTGAGCCTTAATGAGCAGATGACCTGCTTAACAGCAGCTAAGCTCTGCTTCAGCGTCTCACGATCTCTCTTTGTAGACGCTGCCAGTGCTTACATTTGAGAGGATTACAGTCCCATAGCTGTTGATGCCTCCTCAGCATCAGTGCATCACCTCTGGCACACCTTAGCTTTAAGGAAAGAAAGAAAGAAAGAGAAGAAAAAACAAACAAACAAAAAAACAGAAAAAAAAAAAAAACAACAAACCAAAACAACAAAGCCAGAAAGAGAAAGGCCACTGATCAGCTCCTCCAGTGCTCTTGACCAATCTTTAGCAAACACAAGGCACTTCTAAAACAAACAGGTACTGTGAAATATGGAAAAAAAACTGACAAAAGAGACATACTGATTTCCCAGGGAAGGAGTGGGGTAATCTCTGACTGCTTATTTTCCTGAGAAAGTCATTTACTTTGGAATGTAATGGGGTGAGGGAAAGGAAGGGAAGGAGGAACCTCAGTACAGCTCCAGTTTACTGGACCAGCAGTTACTGGAGATAATCTTTTCGATGTCTCAATTTAAATCGCAGACTTACTGGAGAATAAAGGAAAAAGTTCATTCTCTAACGCTGTCTTTTGTGTATCTGTTCAGGAGATGGTACTCCATCTTATCCACAGCATTCATTGAAAAGGTAAGGAAAACATTTTTGTCAAGGTTAATTCCAATAGACTCACCACTGTTTGGGTATGAATAATGAATTTTATTTGGAGGGAGATGGGTGGGGGACAAGGCAGATTTGTCCTCGGACTCCCAAGAAAGAAAACATACATCTCACATACAACGAGGCAGATTGTGTTCTATTCATTTAAAAATTAAAATAATTGAAGAATATAATTTGGAGACTTATGTCAATATTCACAATTCCTTCAAACAGTTATAGTCCATTACAATTATTAATGCCAGAAGCATAATGCAAGGTCCCCACAGACAAAATAAATCCTCTTGAATTTAATTTCAGCAATAGTAATTTAAAATATTCATCTTTGGAAACTCTGCTACCGTGGATCAGTACCCAGGAGTTCATAGGTATATCCATGACATTGCTCACCTCTGTAGCAACACCTGAATCATTTCACAAACCCCCATACAACGAGAACAGAAACTTCCATCTGCATTCTGCTGTGAAGCTAATGAAATGCTGATATGACTAGAAAAGCTGTCATAGTTTACTGCTCCATTATTCTGTTATTCAGCTTCATCTTCTTAGGGGTTTAAGGTCTCTATACTTACTAGATGATCAGCATAATAAATACTTGCTTTAAAAAAAAAAATAAATGTTCTTCTAATTGCAGGACATTACCTTGTTAATTTTATTCACAATTATGGAAAAAGCAAACGTTAAAAGAAAGCATCTTCTTCCCGTGTTCAGTTTTAAGTAAATGCTCGATTAGTTCAGGAATCATTAGGCAGGTAATTAATTGTATACAATCTTGTATTTTGAAAGGCCCCTAATATGTTAAAACCATCTTTAATCCTAGAGTTCCTGAGACTAGAAGACTGGCAGTGAAAATTAATGAATCCACATAAAATGATCTCCAAGGTCATTCAGCTATTACGCTGGCATTTGCTTTAAGTCTCTTTAAAAGTACCAGAATCTCTCTGATGTTTCTGATAGTCCTTGCCGTGTCTTCAGGAGGAATTTCAGATACTAGAATAGAAAAAAATTCAATTCTGTTGCAGCAGTTTGAGAGAAAGCATTCCTTTCGGAGTTAATTTCCTGTCGTGCATCGCCACACTGTACAGAAAGTCCTTCTGATTTTATAACATCCCAGAATATTTCCGGCTATTCATTCCCTTTCTCTAAAAGCAACAAAGCATGTATAAAATTACTACTTTCTCTAATTTTTTGTTAAAGCAATATAGCAATCTTTCTCACCTACACGCATCCTTATCAGCCGCTATGATGAACTGCTTGACAGGGGGAGTCCTAGTTACTGTGGTGCGGCTAGAGCTTCTGTCGCTAGTTCTCTCCTTCCCCCTTGAAATGATTGCTTGCACCTGAGTCCGCTCCTCCTCCTCTCCCCCTC